GATATGGATCTTGATTTATTGAAGGAGAAACAAAAAAACGAATCTAAAAAAATTGATAATAAATTTGAAGAAATTGATAACAAAATTGATGAGCTTTATAATAAAATTGAAGAATTTAATAATAAAATAGACGAACTTTCCGAAAAAATTTCTTCGCTCAGTGAAGAGATCCAACAAAGATTCCAGGAAGAAGATACCCTAACTAATTATTCAAGAAATCTTTCAAGTAATAATAGTTCAAGCAGTTCTCGAGGTAAGATTATTTCAATGTATAAGTATATCTGTTATCTTTAGTGAGATGCTCCTAGTAAATCAATATTTTGTATCATTTCAGCTTCAAGACGAACTTCAGATGAACTCGTGCAAAAATTCAAGAAGCTTTTCGACGAGACTATGCGAAAAAAAGATCATACTAAATCAGATATGATTAATGAAGTTATATATAGCCGATATAAAAAGAGAAACGGGGATAAAGATTCTCGGAGTCGAGGCTATTGAAAATTATTATAATGAAACAACAAAACCTGATGCCAGAATCATAGGCGCGATAAAGGCTTAAAACTAAAGATAAATTTATAAGTAGTAGTAGTAATATTAATGACAACGAAGATAATAATACCAACGAAATAATTAATGATAATAAATAGTTTTTTACCTGGTAGAGCCAAAGTAAAGGGGCGTATATTAATGGTCTAGGGGCCGTATGCTCTCTCCCTTGCAACTCTATCATTTTTCGTAAGAAATTATCTTACATTACTTATTCTTGCATCTTATCAAAATATTCGCTTGATTAAATCATTAATATTAATATTAAATAAAATGAGTCATTGAATTCTTATATATAGTATTTTATGATATGTATTTCTTAAAAACGATTTTCACAACTTTCACGAACAGGTACAAGTTAATTTTATTATCTTAAAAATGACATCCTTTAAATATAAATAAACCTGCCTGGAAGATTTAGGACATATTAAGTTGAACGCGAACCAAATAAATTAGAAAATAAATTGAACGTTACGTTCACAAATTAAAAATTAAATGTTTACACACAAAATAAAATAATTTTTAGAACGTAATTGTGAAATAGTAACACTAAAGATTAAAGAATGCATTTTTTATACTCATCCTTTTTCACCTGCGAAAATTAGTAATGAAAATCAAGATTTCAACCAGCCAGCTCTGGATATTTCAAATTCGATTAGCAAATTAAAGAGTTATCACACGATTCATGACCCACATACTGGAAATCTAGAGAAAATAACAAGTCAGTATAGTATCATTGCGAAATCTATTCACACAATACCATAAAGCAAAATCGCTCAAGTTATATTTAATTGCTTTAAAAATAAAAATCGTATTAATTATTATAAAGCGTTAAAAAATTTTGTAAAGCTATTTTTGGAATTTAAATATTAATATGGAAACAGATAATCTAGATATTACCAATATAGAAAAGGCTATTTATCTTTTTGATGACTGGTAGTCATAGTTAAGAGCTTCATACTCACCCAAAATATAATGATGAAGCGGGATGATTTTGGCAGACAGATTATGTCGACTTCTTGGTAATATTTGAGAGGCATCAGCTAAATATGTGAAAATTTCATTCCAACTTTTGTCTATGTTTTCAAGAAAGCCCATTAATATGAATATCCCCTCAAAAATTCTTCGAACATCATTTATCCCTTTCGGTTTGTGAAAATCAATGCGGAATCGGCATAATTCCCATGTTGTCAGTACTGGATGAAGTGTTCGATCTGATACAGTGATTACTGCTTCGTAGTCTATCAAAATAATATCCAGTATGTAAATGATTCAATCATGACCAAACACTACATAGACTTATTAGATGCCAGCTTACCAGTTATTTGACATGTTATAAATGGAACTTTAAATATTTTTTGGGCAATTTCTCTCGAAATCCGAACCGAATGCTTGTCTTGTAGGTCTTTCAAAAGATTATCAGACGCCAACTTAATTTCTTTGAGAAGCTTTTCTGCATCAGTTTGTGACTTCTTTATTGAGTTGGGTAGATTCGGTTTTTGACCTTCAACAAAACAGACGGGAAAACGTATTTCAGGTGATACAAAATAAACAGTACCATCTGGCTTTGTTCTACCGACTTCACCATTCTCTTTTATATAGTTGAGTTGTTCTACAGCAGTACTTGAGGTGCTATAAGTAGATATAACATTTTTTTTTTTAGAAAAAATTAAAAGAGAGACAGGGCCGAAAATTAAACTATGATCACTTACTTTTCGTATGCTAGGTTATTAATACGATTAATAATTCGTTTCAAGAACATTTCAACGAAATTTATCCAAGTGGCTTCGGAACATATCGACTGGGAATTCATCATAGTTTTTTGATAATGTTTCACAGAAAGTTGTCTGTGAAAAAAAACCAATTTATTTACTGTATTGTAATAACCAAAAGAAATATGAACACAACAACTTACATATTAGACGCGATTTCGACCACCAAGTATCCATCTTTATCTATTAGAAACTCTGGTCTTTCGAAATAGCAGAGGGAGGGAAAATCGTCTCGTTTATATAATCCGAAAAACCATTTTGCCATGTCTGTTGAGGATGGATGGACAAGATTTTTAAATTGATAGTTATCACGATTCATTATATTGTCAAAGCTTCCTGGATCTTTGTTATATAGCAATGGATGAGGTAAATTAGCAAGAAGATGGCCAGAACGTATAGGATCATTTTGTGGCACAAAGCTTAGGTCATGCTGGAGGATGAGATTGATTATAGGATCATTATTGACCTTTAGTTGTTAATTAGAGTTAATTGGATATAGATTCGACCTATGTTCTGAAAAGTACATTGTTACCTCTGCATCTTTAAAGCCTGCAAGGTTGAAAATTTCGTTTGTTTGATTATCTTGAGGATTCGGGTTGATTATGGAGGAATTATGTTCGGTATATTTGGAGAGATTTTCCTAAAATGAATAGACAGAAAGGTAAAAGATGAGATACGACTTCTCAAACAATCTGCGTTATTCAAGACTGTATAATTCTGCCTTCATCAGAGAATATGAGCGTGCGCACGCAAAAGGGAGAGTGAGATCGAGAATGAGATCAAGAACACTTGCCACCAAAGGAAAGCATTAGCCAATGAAACAATGGCCCGATAAGCATGTATGAATGAGTATACCTAGTGTCTCATTGGTGGTGGAACAATAAGCACTGGCCCAAGCATCTTATGTCATCGAGTATACCTATCGCTTCAAGGCTTTTGCTCAAGCGTCCAAAGATCTTATAATCATAGGCAAGAAAAGAACAGAAGAGTAAACAAACGAACTATCTTACCAAAGTCTGCTTGGCCAAATTATTTTTTCTCATATATATATTAGCGGTGTCTATTTTTTCACGGATGTAGCTTGCAACTTGTTCCATCTGCCATTTACGTAATAAATCCTTGTACCAACGCAAAAGATTGCTATTGGTAATATATTCCTTGTTAAGACCGTAAGCTGTGGCATACTCTACCAACCAATTTGCAAAAGCCTCGATGGAAAAGTCATCAATTTTTGAGCTTCGCACACTTTGCTGTAAAAGATAAAATGTTAAGACTGGTTTTTATATATTTCAAATTACACATTATATTCATACCCAGAGGATATCAATAGAATATATAGCATCTGCTTTCTTTCGAATTTGTTCTTTAGTATCCTATAGGAAGGTTAGGAAGGTTAGGAAGGTTCAACATGAGCGTTAAGGTATAGACAATGCAACAAAGACTTTTAACACGCCTTTTCCATTTGAATTTTGCAGCATTCTACTGCATGTTGCTTTTTTTCCTGACATTGGTGACGATTGCAAATAAACTTATACTCCATAGTGGATAAAGAAAGATTGTTGCAAGGTTATCGTGAGAAGAAAATATGGTTATTGTCAGGAGGTCATACGATTAGATCATGCATGTGAAATTTCCATGACTTTCCAATTTATTCCATAGTAATAGTACGCAATTATAATCGAAGATAGTCATCGGTTACACTGATTCGCAAATATAGAGAAATGAAAAATGTCATCGGTTACACTATAATTCGCATTATTATAAATTAATAAAAAATTTACCCAAAAAAAAAAAAAATTCAAAGTAGTAATAGTAAAAATAGTAAAAGAATTCTTATGATTCTCCACCAATGGCATTTTCTACATTCCCTAACTTTCAAAAATTTGTCAATGCTAAAAAAGTTATTTGCAAATGTGGTCAAATTATTTTCACTTGGAGTCAATTACCAAGTTGCAAACCTTAAAAGACATTCTGAGAGTAATAATTGTAAATTTTAATAAATAATCAACCTAGTGTCAAAGCATTTTTACAAAAAGTAACCACGAGTATCACAACAATATTTTTTATGTGATGAAGGAGACATTACAATTCATATTACACCACGAGAAGTAGTTTATTTTTTGGGAATACGTTTTTACTCTAATATTAATGACATTAATCCTCGTTTGGTTTTAAACTATGATTCTTAATATGATTCGTCATTAATTTGGCTGTCCGGTCCTATTAACATTCCAATAAGATAAATTAATTGATCAGCATTTTTATTGGGGCAATGTATGAATAAAAAATAAATCATACTGATACAAATAATTTCTTTTTATGTAAAAATAATAAAGCTAGCATCTAATTAAATTAGCAAATGCCAATCTCACATAAGTTAATACCTATCAAGAAATTTCAACGATGGCAACTAAAATTTGAGGTCTGGAATAATATTCTATGAAATTTTTTTCCTAAATAAATCTTATGATTGGTTGATTGCATCCAATTTAAAAACTTCGCTAATATTTGTTCCACTAACAAACTAATTATTATCTCTGGGATTTTGTATTATTTTATTGCAAGAATGTCATCTTTACCTGAAAGACATAATATATAAACACTCATGAATCCAATTTTTTGTAATAATAGGTTTTACATGCGAAGTTTTTTGATTAAATAAAAATTATATGATAATTACATATTTTGAAAAAACCGAAACTTTTTACCGATGGCGCAGCAAAATAGTAATTTGTACTGCTGACTCCGTAAGTAAACAATTTCTCAATTATAACGAATTACTATGGTGCACATCATCCATTTAAAGACACCTAATCGGACATTTTCAGTAGGCTTATCCTATTCTGGGGAAATAGGATAAGTCGATACGAGACAAATTCTGACGGAAAATTCGCTAATACTAATACCAAATTCACTGTGGTAGTGGTTAAATTTTCCCGGACGAGATAGCAATCTACATAATAATAGCCTAAGCAGTGATTTCACTATGAAAAACTAAATTTGGCCACTTCTCTTTTTAGAAGATCTCCCAAATTATGCGACCAAGTAAAATTCCACTAGTACTAGTACTGTCAAACGGATGCATGAGACCAGTCAAAAAAATCCGTTGAGGCTATTACATGAAATCCGTTATGGAAAAATTGGTGATGATGTGTAAATAGCATTGTTGAAAAGCCCTTCAATCTATAAAATCAAAG